CAGTGTTTCTCTCTCTCTCTCTTTCACCCTCTCGTTTTATTTTTGTCTCTGTTGCTCTAACCGAGAGAAGATCTATACCGCAAACAAAACCATGAAACGGTTGCGAGGAAAGCTGGGAATAGAAGGTAGCTGCAGTATCGGCGATACATCAGGATGTCGAAGAGGGAACCAATCGTTCCCTCTCTGGTGGAATTGGGTTCACGACACGCGTGTATGCATCCGAGAACGGAACTGGTTACCGACTGCGATTCGGTAAACGTGGAAAGTTCCCTAAAGAGGACCGTGGTAAGGCGCACAAGCTCTCCGATTCGATCATCACGTTTTATTTGATTGATTGCTAACAGATCTAAACTGATCGCCCATACACGCATACAAATATTCGACTATGCGTTGTTAGGAGATGAAGAGAAAATCGTTGCTGGTTTCATACGATTTCTTCGTAAAACTTTGGTGGATCAAGAGAGGGATGGATCCCTTTGAACCGAATGCTTTCATCAGTTAACTTTTTAAATTATTCTCTTCTCAGTTTCAATTCCGCACGCGTAGACTGACAATTTACTTCAATGAACAGTAACACGTTAACTGATTATTCATTTCATATTTGTTTCGATATATTGAATAAGATAAGAAAATAATATTTTCGTTTTTAACACGTCGATCGCTAATATATTTCTAATAATTATATTAATATTTCTAAGATTATATGTAAGACAATATAATAACGTTGGTCGCGGATGACTCTTGTGGCTCCCATTGCGAGAACAAACGGCGGTCACGGGTGACCAATATGGCAATCGACGTGTCTTAACATTAAAGACGATTCGGAAAATTTTTCTAAACGAATTGACGACAAGAGTTTGTCTTAAGCTACGATATAATTTTTTTCCAAAAATTACTCTCGCGTTATTATAAACGATTTTTACTAAAAAAATATAATAAAAAAAGGAATAATATTTTGTTAGAAGATTCCTTTCGTATTTTCAATACACTTAAATAAAAATGACATATTTTAGCAAGCACAAAGAAGATAAATAATATTTTGTTCATGAAAGACAACGAAGAGGAGGATTAATATTGCGAGGACGGTCAGGGCGAAGATGTGAAGCTGGCGATCGGCATCGGAGAGTGAGAAAGAGGAGAAGGAGAAAAGTAGGGTGAAGGGAGGGTGAAGGGATGGTGAAGGGTGGGAAGGGGAATGGGGAGAGGAAGAGGACAGCCTGCTCTCGCCCAGCCGGCTGTTCGAAGCAGCTGCTCGATACGCTTCCATCGTGCTCAGGCACACGCTCGAACCAGACGAGCATAAATGCTACACGAGAACCGTGTGAGAAATATTTATGTATATTTCTATATAATGTTCATTTATTTCTCTATATTTATAGATTAATATAAACAATTATATCAACTTAAATATATTTTTTATTTGTTTGTTTAAATTTACAATTAAAGAAACAATATGAATGGATTTGATCAAAAAGTGAATCCAATTACTGCGATTGCTAAATTTTTTGTACAAACTTGTAGACAAAAAATGTTCCCACTTTTTGTTGCTAATTTGAAAGGTTTTAAGGACTATTTTGCAATACTTTTCTTCTTTCTCTAATCAATTTTATTATATACGTTTTATAGATTGTTATATTTTATATTAATTAATTTTTCATGAAGGCTAAAGTTTAGCTTAAATGTAAAATTTGTTCTTCTCGTTTTACGATACTATACATCGTAATACGTAACGTGAGTATATATAAGTATATACTTATATATATATATATATATGTATATGTATATACACCTACGTATATATTATATATACCGACGCTTCGAGCGGTGTCTCCGTCGAGACAAGGAAGTCCAATCGGATCGCGTTTTCCTGTTGCGTCACGCGTGCCAACGCATAACAGTACAACGTACGGTCTGTCAGTACGTGAGCAAACACCACCTAGTAGGTACTTACTTACTTACATGCTTAGATACCTCCACCATATGTCCATATTTACGTATTTGATCATATTATTATAATACATCTGAAATATAAGGTGTATGAAAATTTTTCAAATCCTTTTAGGTTCCAACAAATTCACATATTCGATCATCTTTTTGTAGATGCTATCAAAGTTTGCCAATTTCCTGTAAAAATATCTTTCATTTTTATTCTTCTACTCAATCCTTCTTCACCTATTCCTTTTTCTTCTGGATTTATTTTTCTTTATCTCATCGATTTATCAGAACCGACTTCGTGTTTTTACATCGAATTTTAATCTTCTAACGCAATCGATTTAACAAATTGTTAACAACCTCCTATATTTTTCGATTATGTTTTTTTATGATGACTTTACAAATAGAAACTTAAAACGATTTTGTAATTAAAGCAAATATCGTATCTCCGTTTTCGGTACTGATGGTTGGCAGGCCTCCGATAAATTTCTCCATATGCCATTGGTAAGGTTGTGGGTTCATCGCTTTTGTAATAATTAATCCAATCGAGATTCGCTTTGTGTGTTGGTACGTGATCCCGATAATAAACTTTTACCATGCGCCACCAAACGAATGTCAAAATCTGGTAATATAGCGATTACCGACTTCATTAATTCGAGGCACACGCCCTTTCATTCGAATCTACGTACGTATGAACGTACGCATTTAGCCGCGAATTAATGAATTTAATTATACTGTGATATGGTAATGAACGTGTCGATGATATCATTCTGACACGTGTTACTTGTGTTCTTTCCATTTTTTTTTTCCCCATGATTTCGGTTTTCCATATTTTGTCCCATAAGTGAAATTTGGACTGAACGAATTTTCGTAATTTTTTGCTGGAAAAGTATTATTTTTCTTTTTTCCATGATATTGGTGTTTAGTAATTTGTGTTATAATGAGATTAGGAGTGAACGAGTTATCGTAATCGTCATTGGAAAAGTATTGTCTTTAATAAAAAAAAAAAAAAAAAATAATCGATTATATTTGATAATTACACAATTCTCTTCTCAATCAATGATCTTCCTTAATATTTTAGATCGATATTTATAAAATACAAATGTTCGTCCGGTGCTTTAGAGTTATAACTGTTCGGAATATGAAAAGTTTTGTAAACTTTCGGGAAAAAAAAACNAAAAAAAAAAAAAAAAAAAAAAAACGAGTTTTGTTAATTTTAATAGAGTATTGTACTTGCATTAATGGCAAGATTCGAAATTTCTAAATCGATATTTATAAAATACAAATGTTCGTCCGGTGCTTTAGAGTTATAACTGTTCGGAATATGAAAAGTTTTGTAAACTTTCGGGAAAAAAAAACCGTAACGTTTTTATATTACAGTAATAATGAATATGTTCAGAGTATAAATGCAGTACAACAAGGGTATTTCAAGGAAATTTATTCAAAGGATTTAAACATAATATAATTTAGGAAGAATTTTTTTCGGACAACCCCTATATATTAACCCACATGAACAATTTTTATTCGCACACATTTTATTACTTGTTTTTTTTTCCATTTGAGTGGATATAAAATCGATAAATGAGTATAGTAAATAAATACACGTATGTATATATAGCATCATAGAACGTTCGTTTTCTATTATCGCAAGGACGGATGGTCTGCTAGAAGGAAGTACAGTTTCACCCAGTTCGAGGATCACGTTGACCGACATATCCGATCGCATGGTACTGTAATGGGTTGAACGTGCGGCTTGCCGAGAGGGAGGCTACTCCGTTCTATCATCTTTATGGTATTCCTTGACCGTGCTCTATCTTTCTCTCTTTCTCTCTTTCATTTTCTCGCCTCCTTGCTCTATCGGTCTCTTTCTTTCTTTCTCACTCGTCTCGTCTGTTACGAGATCGCAAACTCAACGACCGAACGAACGAACGAACGATTCGTATATACTGTTGAATGCATCTTACAGTATTCCATTTTATTTTGGTTTTTTTTTACTATCAAATGATCCTTTTACTGTTGATCCCATTCTCTTTTCCATTCGCAAACTGTTATTTTCTCTTTTCTTATTATTTTAAGAAACATTTATAGAAATATTATTACAAACAATTGACCAATAGAACAGAATTATTATCCTTGTTGTCCAATAATGTGTACTGATCAAATTTAAAGCTCTCTAGATCTATCACATTCATTATTATTTCTTTTTAGAGGATTGCACCTTTAAGATTTTTGTATAGAGTAGGTTTAAAAAAGTTCCTATAAACTTACAAGCTTACAAATTTCTGTCCCATCTTTTAAACGTACGATTTAATTACGATTTATGGTCAAATTTGTCATATAAGACTCTTTGCTGAGAGTTAATAAAAAGATAATGTGAAATTTTTGATAAACGATTGTTTCTATTAGTCAAATTTCTTCTACGAAATGACGTCCAACAATAAGTTGGTTCAATACTTTGGAAGATAAGAAGACTCTTTCTAGATATCGTGTAGCTTGGTAAGATCTCTTCGTTTGAACACGTCATGTGCACGTGCATATCCCAATAAGAGAGACACCGAGAGATCTACGTAGATGCACGTACTACGTATATGTACCTGTTGCTCGTTCCGTTGTTCCTCCGCCACAGGCCGGTTTTGTGTTACGTGTACACTCTCTCTCACTCTCTTTCTCTCTCTCTCTCTATCTCCTTCTATCCCTTTCTCTTTCCCACTTTATCTATCTGTCTCTATCTCCAACTCTATCTCTCTCTTTCATTCTTCCTTCCATCCGCGTCCTTTTTCGTTCATACACAAATACACGTGGCCACGTATCCTAGAGGTGTACACAAATACACCCACGGGATCATTTGATCTCTCTTTTTTTCATTCAGTAGTTCTTTTTTTTTTTGTCTTTTTGCCAAATGACACACGAATTTAACTCTTTTGATGCCTGTTCATGGGATTAATCCTTTACGAAACCATGCAAATTTGAAGTTCAAAGCCGTGCACATATTTTTCTAACTATTCTAAGGTTTCATTTTATTGTTCGCAATTTTATTATCGGGTTGCCTACGTATGTCCGAAGGAATATAAAACATTATGTGTTGTAATAATTTTTTTTTATTGTTTATACAGCTCGACTAGTTCTGCATATAAATCAGATGTCGTTTTATTTATAACAAACCTCATATTTTTAATATCACATATTAATAATCGGATGCACTCGAGAGAAGGGTATTTCCGAGTGTAAAATTATATATTGATTATCGCATTTACATATAATAAATAAAATAAGAATGTATGTGTAAACCAATGGTACCAGTCTGATGCGGGGTATCTTTTGCACCCTCGGATTGACACCATGTTAAGCCCTGTTAATAACAAACTCCATATTAAATTAATTAACCAAATGAATTGATACGAAGACAAATTCGTTTGCCAAGAATAATAAACATGCATATTTTATTGTGATCTTGCATAAATTTACACTCTGATCTAAACCTGCGTGAGGAGCCCTTGGATCAATTTCAGTTTGAACATCCGAAAGATTGTAAGATATCCCCCGCTTGAAATGAATACTATTACGAATGAATGAGAAGTAGGAAGAAAGGGAGTAGGTAGCGAAAAGGGGTGAGGGTTGGGGAGGGGGAGGGGGAGGTTGGAGGATGAGGAAGAGGAACGACTGGGCCGACAAGTGGCGCCCCGTCGGTTCGTCCAATCCGCAAAGTTTAGCATAAGACGGCACCGAAGCACGACTACTTCTCTCACACTCGCTAACTCATTCACTCAGTTACTCACTTACTCACTTATGTACTCACTTACTTCACTCTCACTCTCGCTTGCTCACTCTTATTCACTTTGAGGAGCGCGTGTGTTCGGCATTTTCCCTCTACGTTGACGGTGGATCGGATATTCCGGGGATGCCTCTTCCGGTACACACAAATGCCCTTAAACACAGACACAAATATATAGTCACACATTTACATATACATAAGTATATATATGTATATATTCGTACATAGCACAACACGTACATATCCACACAGAGATAAACACATATGCGAGACTATGCTATATGCTGTAGTAGCTCGTGGAAACAAGCTTGGATAAGGGGTCTGGGGGTTTAGGGGTGAGATGGGGACCGTGGGGGGAAACGTAGGGGGTTGTGTCAGGGGAGAGAAGGTGCGGGGGGCGGGGGGGTCGGGGGCGGATTCGATGCAGCAGAGAACGGAGCAACAGGTTACCTAAAGTTCGAATGACACGCTTCAGGGATTTTCGCGAAACGACTCTGTTTTGCGTCTCGCACGATCGCCTCGTGATATCCTCTGACGAGCTTCCAAAACTCTAGGCTGTGGTCTAACGTTTGACCGTCTTTCTTCAAACTCAAACGATCTAAGTAAGTCTCACGTATATTTTAAAGGACGAAGATTTTTTCTACCTGCAAGAAGATCGAGAAATTCTTCTCAATGGGAAACGAATACTAAAAGTTTGTCGTCTTATCAAAGTTTCTTAACAATTAGAAGGGTCAATGAAATTAGTTGGGTATGGTAAATTCAAGAATTTTGTCGTTTTATCATAATTCTTATTAGCAATGACGTTTAAATGAGATTACTTGGGTCTGATATATTTGATAATTGGGAATAACTTATTGATGTTAATCAATTCGTTACTAGCAACCCCATATACGGGTCGTCTGTGTAAAGTCCCGTATATATTAACGTCAAATTATGTCGTAAGAAAAGAATTAATGGTTGAAACAAAAAAAAGAAATTCAACAAATATCTCACCAATAGGAGTAAATTAAAACACAAACAAATTGTGTAATATATTTACATATAATTTATATTTAGTTTAAATTGTGTAAACAATAATGATTCTCCTCTGTTTAAAAGTAATTACTTCAAATTGAAAGTTGTTAGAAAAAGATAAAAAGCTCTCTAAGAATAGGAAGAAGAATAAGAATAAGAATAAGAAGAAGAAGAAAGAGGATGAAAACGAAAGAGGGATTCGTAGGGATCGACGAGAGGGTGTAAGAGGTTTACGGTTGAGGCACGTGTACGTCACAGAACAGCTGAGCTTTGTGCATTTACGTAGGCGAAACACACTGAGAGAACAGAACGGTGCTTCAATCTCTCTCTGTCTCTCCCTCTTTCTATATGTGTGTACGAGGTTGACGTTAAGGGGTGGTGGTGAGGTGGTGGTGGTGGTGGTGGTGGTGGTGGTGGTGGTGGTGTGGCATGGAGAGAGTAAAGGGACGGGGAAACGACGAGTTGTTGGCTCTAGAAAGGGTAGGGAAAGGAACGGAAGGGAAGGGTAGGGTTGGGTAGGAAACGGAGAGAGGGAGGGAGGGGAAAGGGAAGGATGAATACGCGAATATGTGCCATGCGGAGCTAGCGGGCGAGCGAAAGTGAAAACGGGGTTGGAGTTCTCTCCTCTTCCTCCGTTATTCTCTATCTCTCTCTCTCTCCCTCTCTCTCTCTTTCTCTTTCAACCTATCTACCTATCTATCCGTCTCTCTCGCACCCTAACTACACTACGGTATGCACGGTAAGCCGTGCACACAGCATCGATGCATTCGATTCGAGGATGTATACGTGTATGTATGGGAGATAGATCGAGATTCGAGAGTAGCGAGGTCGAGCACCGGTTTACTGGAATCTCCTACTACACCCCTTTCTCTCTCATACCCTCTTCCAAAAGTCTCCTCCTCCTCCTCCACCTCGTCCTCTTCTGGCACGGATCACTCAGTTTCCGAACGTTGGGCGCTTCTCGTGATCGCTCTCCGGCGGGACTGGCTTTCCGTTCAATTCAACCGTATGAACGGGATCGTTCGTGACGTGATTTTCGTCGGGTACCTCGGATCAGTCCGCGTCGATGCTTCTCATCGTTGAATCTGTTACCGAAGCGACGGGGAAAGAGGAAGAGGAGAAGTAGGAGAAGGAAGAGGAGGAGGAGGAGGGGAACGGACTGGAGAAGCTGATGAACCCTTGCTACCGATCGAGTTAGCCCCGTAACCTTGTCTATCTATTTTTATTCTTTCATTTACCTGGCTTCGATGGGACGAATAGAACGTTGAACTCTCCCGACTTCTTCTTTCCCTCCCCTTCACTCTCCCTCTCCCTCTCCCTCTCCCTCTCTCTCTTTCCTTTACTTTTAATTTTTATTTTCGTCCGGTCCTCCGGCAATAGGCAGGAGAACGAATATAATAATCTCGGCAACATTCGGCACACACTCGAAAAGTGGCCAACCAAGTAGGGGGGGAAGATCTACGTCCTGGTCTAAACTTGTCCAGCGTTGAAAACTTGCCGAGAAACAGCACCCTAGTGACCCCGTTGTTGGCACGCCGAGTAACACGCCCATCCCCTTTTCATCCTCATCCTTCTGTTATTTATCCTTCTCTATCCTACTGAGCAGAACGCCTTCACCGACCCTCTCGAGGCCGTTGCGCATTAAGGCCGAATTTACAAAGGGTAGATATACTTGCTATCTCTCGTCTTCCATTCCGGAATCCCTCCCTGCCCTACCCTGCCCTGCCCTATCCTGCCCTGCCCCCCTTCTTACCCCTTGCTCTTTCTCACCACTACGACTAACCGCTAAACTCGACGGGCCTCCCTTCGCCCTTTCTGCGACCTCCCTCTTTCTCCCTCCTTTCCTCTCTCTTTCTCTCTCTCTCTCTCTCTCTCTCTTTCTCGCTTTCACCATGTACGTTTCTGACTGCAAAGCGGGCACAAACACTCTCTCTCGTAGGGGAGCAACAGGTCCTCTCGAGGATGCACGCTGGCCCCCGAGCGTTACCTTCAAAGTGCCTTCCGCATTTTTCCTATCATCGTACTACACACCCCTCGTACTTTCCTTCTTTCCTTTCTTCCTTCGTTCGTTCGTTCGTTCTTTCCTTCCTTTTTTCCTTCCTTCCTTCCTTCCTTTCAAGGCTTTTCGATTTCGTACCAATCGATCCGTCACTTCGATTCCTACTTTCCAAACGATTTACTTTTCAAGATTATTTCTTCTTCCTTTAGAAAACCAATTTTGTGATGGTTTATTTATTATATTTTTTTTTTTGTATTGTCTAGCTTTTGGTTTTTTTTACAAGTATATTCTATTAAATGAATCGAATATGATCCAACACTGTTATTCTTATTCTAACGATTATACGATCGTAATCTTTGAATTAATTAGACATTTACAAATCTAATCGGGAATAAATTATTATTGTACTTTCAAAAAATATAATGTAAAAGTGACTTGTAATATTTCGATCAACTTTTTCGTACGAGACCAATTTATTCCCATTGCCCTTTTTAAATATCTTTTAATTATCTAACGTTTTGAGTTTAATCAAATTCTACGATCTATGATGTACATTAAAATCATACGTTATTGTATTCCAATGTAAAATAAAACAAGTATAATGAGTTAAAAGAATACTCGTAACCCTACTGTCGATATATAGCAATGAATATTTGCTTGTAATGCAATTTTACAAAATTCTTTCACACATCAAAAACATATAACGATCAATTTGAAAAGTTTTAACTCTTGATATTCAAAAAAAAACTGTAATTTTTATCTTCTAAATAAAAAGATTGTTTCTATATGGTAAAGTCATTTACTTTTCAATTTACCAATGTAAAAATTTGTAAATTCAATATATTGCAAGGTAATGTAAATTATTGAAAAATTGATTGTCAAAGGGTGTAAAGGTGTGGGAATGTGGGTAAGAATATTTCAGTGACTGAGTGTATATACTCGCAGTATATTTCATAGCTGTAACACGATATCGAATAGGTTTCCGATAACCTCGATGGGATCGCGGAAATTCGTTTGAAAAGTGGGTCAACAGAATGGACCACGTGGAAAGTATAAATCTTGATGTAGGCGGTGAGGAAACAAGCTGGCTGGTGGTGACCTTGCCACTTGAACTTGTCTCCATCTCGATAGCTACACAACTTCGCCAGTCATTCTTCTCCCACCTAGTTGAGACGGATCGTCGTAACTCGAACCATAAAGTTGGAAGAAATAAAGGATTCTAGAGTGAGTGAGTGAGTGAGTGAGTTAGGGAGGGAGTGAGTGAGTGAGTGAGTTAGTGAGTGTGTATATGAGTGTGAAAGAAAGAGAAAGAGAGAGAGAGGAAAGCATCAACCCGAAGCTATTCCCGAAGGTTTACGATCCCGTCTGCTACACGGATTCTCCCTTTTCCCCCTGCCTCCTTTTTTTTTTTCTTTCTTTTTTATTATTACCACATTTTTTCCCCCTTCTGTAAAATCGATCATCGATTCTGAATGACTTAGCCGCAAGGTCGTTTGTATGGGACGTAACATATCAATCGATCTGCTTTAATTTTTTTTTTTCATTCTCCAGACTAACTCGAATTTAGAATCAGGATATATTATGTATATCTCTGACAAACGAGAGTTCGAAAAAAAGATCAAAATAAAAATAACAATTTAACTACGATCGTGTTTTTAAGTAATTTTGATTAATAGGGAATTTATAGTCTACAGATTAATATAATTAAATATTTTTAATTAAAACTTAGAATATATTATAAAAATACATCAATATAGTATAAAAAAAAAAAAACAAAAAAAAATAAAATAAAATAAAAAAATAAAAGTATAAGATATTTAATTTAACATATGATAATTTTGTTTGTAGTTATATAGTGATTAATATGGAAATGATTATGTATAAATTCATGAATATATATATTCATTATTCTGACACTTAGAACTAAAATAGAAAATTAAATTAGAAATAAAATCTAAACGGATGATTTATATTGTTTGTGATAATTTTATGGATGTTAACGATTAATATGTAAATGAATTAGACTATAATTAATATAACCGATATCAGAGTTTTAATTTGCACATTGTAATTAATTATTGTACATCCCATTTATATTAACATATTCATATGAAACTAGCTTATGTGTTCGTGTTTGTATTTTACGTTGATGAGAAACATATAGAAGACACTGGGAGAAAGGTCTTTTTGTGGAATGTCGTGAATAGAGATGCGAGAAACAAGACTATCTCGTAACGGGAGGCAGAACACGTGGAGCAATATGAGGGCAGGTCAGTGATATCCAAGCGGAGTTTAAACGGTTGTTCGCTTCGGTGCTGCAAACTCTCCTCGGTGGTCAGTGAGAGCTCTCGAACGGCTTGCAAGTACGGGAACAAACACCCAACCAACGTCTGTTTTACTTTCACTCTTCAATCCTTTTTTTTCTTTTATTCAATCTACAAATTTTGTTTATTCCAAATATTAGGATCAAATATCAATCGTGTGTGCATTTCATCACAAAATCATTACAAAAAATATCTTTACTTGTTTACGCGACACAAAATTAATTTAGATCATTTATTCCAATCCTAGTGTGTATCTAGGGAAAAATGATATATTTAGTATAATATAATATTTGTTATTAAATTTAATTTGTAATGTTTTTTTTTTTTATGAGAAATATTATCTTTACGGTTTAATTTCTTTTTTATTTTTTTTCTTCTAATAGTGCGTGTGCATATATAAAATTGATGCTAAATTTGTTAGAGAATTATATGTTAGAATATATTAT